TACACACATACACACATATATATGTATACATACTTATATATATACACACACACACACACAAGTAGTCATTATACGCATATAATTTCTCAATGTTAATGTGCACTTCATTACTTGAACTCGTTTCTTGTAGTTTTATTCTGGTAATGTATCTTCTTACTCTTTTTTTTATTAAAACAAAACTGTCTCAAGTTCGTTTTGTTTTCTCAACAAGAACTTGTTTTCCAAAGACCAACAGGTCGTAACACCGAAAGTTTGACCTTTTCAACGCGATTTTTTTCTTCTGCCGAAACTAAAGACTAAAATCAGGATTTATTGATCTGTGCTAAAATAAAAAGAATTTATTTAAAAAAAAAAATAATATGATTTTCTAGCAAAATAAAAATTGGTCTAAATTAGACGCGAGGAAAAGATAAGGATATCAAGTATTTTAAAAGATCATTTAACGTTTTTAGAAATTGTACGAGAGTAAAAAGGAACATCAAATGAAAAACAAGCGGTGCTGAAAGGTTCTTGCTTGACCGATCAAAGAAAATCAAATGTTGGGTCATTTGGCCAGATTTTGGGAAGTGGATCAGGTCGAGGAACTTTCAACCCCTCTCCACCCCTCTTAAGAAAGTAATAACTCATTTGAAGGTGTCATAGAAAAATCGTTTTTTCTTTATTTTGTTACTTGTTAAATACAATATTTTTAACATTGATTTCTTTCATGAAAACATGTCGAGACCAAAAATTTAACATTCATCATTTCACACTTTCACTTGATATTAATAATCATTTTATGACGCTGTGTGTGTTGCATAAATATCGTACCAAAAGAAATATACTTTTTTTAAAAAAAAAGTACGTTTATTTTAATATAAATACAAAAAACACTGTATTTAATTGGTAAAAATGATAAAATCATTATATGAACAATACTTTGGTTTTTCTTTTGAAATTAGTTTCATATGGTATTATTTTGTTTGTTGTATAGTTGTGATGTTTTGCATATATACTTAAAAGACAAAAAGAAAGAATGATAAATAGACGATGAAAAACTGTACATAAACACTCAACAAATATTTCTAATTTTTCTATTTGTGTCGGAGTGAACGCACTTAAAAAAATATCAGAGACGTAAAATAAATAAAATTCATCTAGATATCAATTGTTATCTTATATGCGGTAAAACTGTTTGCTAGTTGAAATGACTGATTCAGATATATATATTTTTATTGAATGAAATTTAAAGGAATATCACATGAAATGCAATTTTCGTTATGTACGATAGTGAAATACATTTTCCCCAACTGGAGTTTTAAAGTTTTTATTCCGTAAACACCCCGTAGAGATTCATTCTGTAAAACAGAATTTTTAAAAATATTGTAAATTCTTTAATTTAGATTTAGTATATAAATTAAAAAATTCTTTAAACAAAGACTGACAATTTAAGAGTTAAAGTAAGAAATTGTTGAAAGTCAGGAAAATCTGCTGCTAAAAATGGGTTTATCATGTGTTTATCAGCATTCAACAGTTAGGACAAATGTTGAAATATGTAAAAATGCAAGCTAAAGATAATTTTTATTTTAAATAAACCTTTATGGGAAATTATGGTTTATCATAGCAAAACATTTGAGTAATAATCGCTTCCTATTCGTTCTTATACCATGCATTTGCCGATAGATTGCTTGCTTTATTTAATTAGGTGCTCATCTGATAAAAAATCCTAAGCCTACAATAAAATTCGTTGTATGACAGAATAAAAAAGAAAATGAAATTATTTGCGAGAAGATTAGATAGCATTTAACTGAATGGAAAAAAAAAGATTTTACACTGTAATTGACAACTCTAGTAATAAGCGTATTTCATAACTTTCGCGGGAAGCAAAGCTGCAGTAAAATCACGTCACTATGCTTTCTTATATATATATCACTTTTAGATTAATAATAAAATAAATTTGTTTTAAATTCCGGGTTTTAAAAAAGCAAAAATAACACTGATTTCTTTCAGTTTTAAAAGCATTATGACATGCATTTTAAAAGTTACGATTATTTAAGACTAAATCTAAAAGTAAAAACTATAAGTCGAGTAAATAATAAACTTAAAATATTAGAAATAAATAATCAGTTTATTCTATACCAAGTATTTTACTTTACTACAGAAAGGAAATATTAATTTCAAACATCTCTACATATTTTTAATAATCAATCCGAACATCATTAATTTTCATGATTTCTCATTAAATATCTGATGACATTGACATTTGTAAATTCATTCATTATTGCTTTAAAATGATTTCTCTTAATAAATTCATCAATTTAAATTGACAATTCGAAAGTTCATTAAATGACCTCAAATAAAAAATATTATTATACAAGTGTGCTTTTACAATTTTCCCATTTCCATACAGTGTGCATGCAAAATTCGATTGTTATATTCCAAACCAGAATTGCCAATATCCTCTATCGTAATTTACTGAGCTAATAAAAATAAATAAAAATAAATAAAATACAAATAAATGCTAATTAAAAAACAACTGATATATAATTGTTGGATTCAAATGGTCAAATTGAATTCACATCTTTCTAAAAGCATAATCTTTAAATCATAAAATAAGCATTTGTTGGACAGAAAGGTTTTAGATCAATTATAAATTTTAAATTACTAATAAGATAAATTTATCTGTCTATATTTCTGAGATTAGGTCAACAGTCTGAACGATGTAAAGATATATTAATAATTACAAATTATTGATCTCAGTGTTATTAAAATCATGCAAATCTTAGTTGAACTGTTTAAAAAAGAGGGATTAGATTTACTCCCATACACACATACAAAAGAGAAGGGTGTTTACGAAGGAGTGCTGAAAAGTTATTTGTAACTAAAAAGCGCTAATAAATCTGTTAGGTAATTTGGTCGGATTTAGAGAAATGAAGTTTTTCGAAAATTATATAGTACCACCATATATATATATATATATATATATATATATATATATATATATATAAAGTATGGGTACTGGTGGCAACACTGAGTGGCAACAGTTTTTTTTTCATTCTTGAACGCAATCTTTAGTTCAAAACTGCATCAAACAAATTGTCATCATTCAGTGCTGTCATCAGTGTTCACACGTATTTACACAGGCTCCATCCCAGATATTGAGAACTTGTATCCTATAAATATAGCATACCTTTAAACTATATATATATATGTGTGTGTGAGAGAGAGAGAGAGCGTGTATGTATTATGCGTTTATGCACACTCACGCATGAAGATAAATATGTATATTTTTATGTTCACAGCTACATATAAATACATACAAATAGCTAAATATCAACATAAAGTTAAATTACATTTAAATTTTATCTTTAAAAATACACAGGATAATTATAAATTCTGAATCCATTTGTCATTTAAATATCAGAACATTCTAGGTAACGTCTGAATGAATATGAAAATTTTCATCTAAACATTTACTTAAGAATGACACGTGCTAAAAAAGGCGTAGTTTATCTCTCGGCTACTGTAAAATGTATTGTTTTTAATTATAGTCTTATTCACTCCTTTATTTTGACAATTTGTAACATGCTGTTTTCTGATATAAATACAAATCTACTCAAAATTCAAATCCGTCTTAAATTTTGAATTTAAATATATAATTTAAATTCATCTCACAAAACTAAATTAGATAAGACATTCATATTTAAAAAAAAAAACTATTTTTCACAAATATATGAAGAAACTCAGTATTATTCAAAATTCTAAATAAAATAGTTAAGTTAAAGGACAAACTGAATTCCGATTTAATTTAATTTAAAAAGAAAGTTTAAAATCATGAAATTTTACTGGAGTCATTTTCAAGATAAATAATACATCTTAAATCAACAATTTCAGTAGTAGACAAGAAGATATGACTATGACACATGTTTGACGGGTTATTTTCTTTGTGATTTCTTTTTGAAAGATAGTCAACAAGGAGAATTCAAAAAGTAGTGCGAGCGTGCGCAAAAAAAAAAGATGTAATTGAAAAGATGTAATTGACTGTAAACTTGACTTTCTCATGTACCTAATCCATTTTTTCATTTATAAAGCATTAGTTAGTTTATTTGGAACAAATCTGAAATTTCTTCATCATCCTAAACATTTTCTTTTTGTCTGCTAATTCTTTAATTATCTACAGGTGGCAAGATAAGGATGATTCAAATAACGAGCGATATATTCAAAGGTCTACTGAAATATTCACATAAATTACATATGAATTGTTTTTTTTTTTTAACTCTTTGGTAATTAAAGTGGAAAATACATACTATTTTGTTAAGTCACTGCGATTTACGGAGATTAAGTTTCACTCTGCATCAAGTTAGTCAGGTGCACATTTATATAAATCTATCTTGATATCAACTGATTCTAATAGCCTTTCAATTCAAAGATTTACCGTGCGATTATTCATATATTCTAGATATTGCATAATTTGTAAGAAAGGATACAGCAATGATTGAATTCTATAATTAAGATATCGTTAATGTTTATGCAAATGTTACCTTACATAGAATTGGTAACGATTTTGTATGTCGAGATTAAAACAAATTGTACAGACTTTCAGTTCTAAAATTCTAAGCATAAAGGGTTTAGAATTTAGTTTGTCATAAATTAATCATGATTCTTTTTTTTCTTTACGAGATTGTCATTTGCGCATTTAAAAGTGTCGCTCTACTTCAAGCAAAGAAGCTTTCATTATTAAAAAACACTAGATTCCCTTTTGTTTTTTATTATGTATATATATATATATATATATATATATATATATATATATATATATATATATATATATATATATATAAAAAATAATACTACATTTAAATTAAATTTTATTCTTTTTGCTAAAAATGATATATCAACAGTTGAAAAGAAATTATACAACTATTAATATATATATATATATATATATATATATATATATATATATATATATATATATATATATATATATATATAGAAAGGCACATCTTCATTTTGCCTACTTACATAATTGCATAGGGGCACAGATAGATAGATAGATAGATAGATAGATAGATAGATAGATAGATAGATAGATAGATAGATAGATTCCTAATTACTTTTTTCTATATGTTTTATGTATTTTATTTTACCAAGAAACTTGTATTATTATCTGATATCTTGTAGACACTTCCATTTACATCAGGTTTTATTAACGTCTTCTTATTCATATTTATATCAGGTAATTTTATATTATAATTAATTCTGAAGCAGAAGATGAATTTATCAATTTTAAAAATAAGCCAAGGTTAGAGAAGAAATTAAGTATGAAGACTTGATTATCAATGGTAGGTAAGATATAACATTAAAGGCATTTGATCACTTACAACTGATATTCATAATTATTATGAATAATTATCATTTTTTAAATTAAAATATTAGTTTTAGCAACGAGTGACAGTTTCATTTATTCACAAAAAATATCACAGTAAAATTCTGTTTTTATATTGTTTTATTTAGATGTCAACTATAATTTTCTTTTTTATAGATAACACAATCGAAAATACATTTATATGAAGAAAGTGTAGTAATAATTAAAATGGTTTATACAGTTGTACTTTACTACTGATGAGTGGAATGTTAATCAAGTTATTTTGTTTGACTGCAGAACGAGAGAATTAAAAAAATATTTTTACCTGAAGATATGGTAAAGAAAACATTTTAGATTTGTGAAATCCATACCATTGAAATATCTAAGATTGTACTGAATTGTCATTCATATTAATTATGAAAAAATACATATATATCAAACATTCATTGACATAAGTCTGAATAATTAGTCATTTAAAAGCACAAATATTAAAATAATTGTAACATTTTACTTATAGAAGCAAACACAGTTTATTTATAAAAACAGAAACTTTACTTCTATACGAACACACACTCGCACACACACACGCATATATATGAGTGTGTGTGTGTATGTATGTATGTGTGTTATTTAGACATATTCTAAATAAGTTTATCATGTGTATTAATGCATGCGTATATGTGTCTAATTCTGTACTTTTTATTATATTAAATTATTTCAAATGAATAAATTTGTGTATACTCGCCAAGTAAAATACAGAAAATTCATGTATTTTTTATTTTTATGCATTTTTATATTTATGCATTGAACAACATACTTCATAAATTCTTTTATGACATGAAAGTTACTCCCAAATTCCTCATTAAAGTATCCATTTTTCAATTTCACTTTCACTTTCATTCTTCTGTTTAGTGTTAGGTGTGAAAAAAGCTCTTTATGAAAAACAGATAAGAGAATCATGTTGATTCTTGATTGGAACAACTTCGCGCACGAAACATAATACATGCATTATGAGAATGAATTCGGCAGTAAGCTATTGTTTAATGTATACCACAAGATACGCAAGATGTGAAAGCATGCAAATAAGAGAAATATGATGTTTGAAAGTAAAAAGTGGAAAATAAGCGAAGTCAGAAAAGTATGACAAGGACATCGATGATGAAGAAAGTCATTATAACTCACTTTTCACTATAGTGGACCTGTTCGTTGCCATAATTCCTTGCATACACGTGCCGTATCTTTAGGGGACTTCCGGATGACGGTCAGTGAAAACAGCCTCAGTAAAGAAAGAAAAGGAAGTAAAAAAAAATGAAATAGGAAAGAGAGAGAGAGAGAGAGAAGTGACTAGAAAAGCAAAAAGGAATTGGTCAAATTCTGGACTATTTTCGATAAATGTTTCTCTTATCCTGCTCCTTAAGTCTTTTAATCTTTTTTTTTTTTTCAAAAAGGTAAAATTGAAAGATTATTTCCTTCCAAGTCTTGGTTTCTTTTTCTAAAGTCAATTAGTCAAGTACAAAATGCCAATCTGAACAAACAGATAATCTTCGTGTGCATCGACAAGAGGCGTAGGGTCGTAAATTAGCTTTTTAACCCTCTTATTATTGCTGCTCTTGTGATCACTGTTGTTTTTACTAAACTGTCACCAACGTTGCATCAGTATTTTTGTTTATGTTGTTGTTTGTTTCCTTTCTACATTGAGCACGTGCTATCAGCTTGATGGCTGCGCCTAAACTAAAAATCTCCACCGCGTGTCGATTCGGTCATATGGTAACAGTTAACAGCCTCGTACTTCACCTCCATCGGATCCACCTCTCTTTCTCACTCCCTATCTTTCTTTCTCTCCCTCTCTCTCTTTCTTTCTCTCTCTCTCTCTCTCACGCACGCACACACACACACACACACACACACACACACACACACACACACACACACACACAGATACTTTCTCCCTTGACTGTCTCTGTCAATTCTTTCAGCGTTGAAACCGCATTCTTCTTTTTTGTTGTTTTCTATTTCCTTTTGCCTTTCATAAGAATTTTACTTTCACTTTCACTATTCTTTTTAGCTTTCTCCTCCCACTTCTTTTTCTTCTTACTTTCCACTATCTGCACGTGTCCCTCCCTCAAAGAATGGATTACAAGTAACCTTCCTACTTCACCTCAACTTCTGATTTCTTCTTTCAATATGTTTTTCTAGGGGTGGGTGTGAAGCTTTTTTTTTACATCAACTTACTGTATTTCTTTCCTCACTTCTATTACATTCTCTCTTTTCTTCTCTCTCATTCTTCTATCAGTCCCTATCTTTTGATGAAAAGAGATTTTCTTTACAAATCATCTAAAGCCGACAACTATTTAAGCCTTATCGTCTTTTCTAGAACAACAAAGCAATACGTATACCTCACAGCAAGCTATGTCTTCCACGCATTTTCACACCTTATCCTTTAACTCGTTTTCCGTTCTTCTAATTTATACATTCTCTCTTTTTCTCTAGATATTGTGTGTTCTTTACTCTCTCTCTCTCTCTCTCTCTCTCTCTCTCTCTCCGTATTTTTCTTTCTTTCTCTCTTGCAAATTTTTCCCTAATGTTTGCTGCTCTGCTTTCTGTCTTTCTGTCTGTTCTCATCCTCCGTCTCCATGAGGATCTCCCTTCCTTACGTACGTCCTTCTAGCCCTACTAACTCGCCAAACACACCTCACTCTTCCAGCTTTGGGTTGACTGGAGAAAAGACAGTTGTAGCCGAGCGAATGATGCCCTAGGGCCGATTTTAAATGGCTGAGAACAAGAACAGGTGCGCTAGAAATAATGTTACCAGCACCACAATAGCAGAGCTCTCCATTGATTGCTGAGATCGATGCAAAGATATGTTGAGGCAAACATCAGAGAACACATACACGCACAAGGTAATTGTTGGGAGAGTCATGGGAGAGGAATAGGGAGGAGGTTAAGAAAGCGAGAAAGAGGAGGGGGACTAAATGCGGCCAATGGTTGAGGACGAAGCGATAATAGGACGCGAAAAATAGAAAGAAAGAGGGGTATATGTAAGAATCAGAGAGACAACACTGATGACAACGATATAAATGGTGGGACAAGGAAGTGGCTGGGAAAAGAAGAGTGCAAAAGAGCAAAATATAAAGATGGAGTGAGGGAAGGTGGCTATACACGTACACACGTACACATATATACACACACACAAGTGCTCACACAAAAGAAGATATACACAAACATAAACACAAAAGTGAAAGGAGTTCATCACACGTAAGAAGCTCAAATTTGTAATCGTGGCGTTTACTAATCTTCAAGCTGAAAAAGCGACCAAGGGACGTCCCTGGCCTAAAAATCAATGATTAGTGTTTAGTGACAATGTATCCCACATTTTTTTTCTTTTTTACGCTTCATTTCGACCACACTCCTTGTCCCTTTCTGTCCAACTGAATATTATCAATGGTAGTTGCAGTAAAAATGGTTGTTTAACAGAAGAAATATATGTGTGTTTGTGGCACCTTCCGTTAGAAAGGATTGGGTAGTTACTTTAAGTGAATGTTGTGGCGTGGGCATAAGGAATCGACGTTTAACTTGCTGTGGTAGATGATGAGCATTAACAAGTAAAGGGTGCGGGTAATATGCCTATGGAGGAGAATGGCAGAAAACTAAGAAAAGGTGCAGCATTGGGAAAATAATGTTTTAACTTGTCTACGTCTTTTAAAGATTACAAGCTTAGTGATTGCACAAACGAACATTGAAACTTATTAATGAAAACGTGTCAGGTTTTGGATTCAGGTTGTTACTCTGACGGTTCATTTTCTTTCTTTTTTTATTCCTAGAGGTTTATTTTGGTGTTTCAAGAGCCCAATCCTGAAACGTAGCAAACGTTTACATAAAATAAACATTGACAAATTTGGGGATTTAGAAGTTAAGTACAATATTAGAAGTTTGTAAATATTGTCACAGTTTGTAATAGGTCCTCACGAAAGATGACAAAACAACACAAATTAACAGTCGATAACATTTGATAAAACCAATTATGGAATAGACGTTAAATACCTTAAAATGATATTAATGTCGACATGCTGTGAGTGTGTGCGTGGGTGTAATGAGGGGGAGATATACAGAAAGACGTGAGATGGAAAGAAAGAAAAAGTAGAGAGAGAGAGAGTGAGAGGGTACACTTAACATATATGCATTCATACTCACACGTAATTGTCCGTACATGTATGTATAATATATATATATATATATATATATGTATACAGAAAAAAACGAGACATACTATTATATGGCGCCATACAATCATATACGTACCTAATCTTAAATATAATTCTTAGGTATATATGATTCGTTTATTGATTTAGAAATATTATCACATTTAAGACGTTTAATTTCTGTCCGATTTATAATATAACTGTATAATACACAAATATACCAGATATAAACAAGTATGTGCAAATACACATATGAAAGCTCAGCCTATATTGCTTTGTAACTAAGAAAAAAATTTCAATTGCATACATACCTAACAATTGCGCCCGTAAATAGGAAGCCAATATAAGAAACGTACACATACTTATACTTAACGTGTCTATCTTTGCGCTGTTTAAATACATATATAATGTTAATTCAAAAAACAAATGATAGATAAAAACTAGTTTGACCAAACAAAAAATACATTTTACTTGTAAATGTCGGTAATTTAATATTTTTAGGATGTTTTGTTGTTGTTGTTTTTCATTTGTTTTGATTTTTTACGAAACTTTTCTTTTGTGGTAACTGTTTTGTTTTACGATAACTGTTTCCAAAAATATTCTTGCAAGATCGATTTAGTGGTTGAAATGAAGATACAGGGAAACAAAGAGTTTAATCAACAGAGAATCTGATTATATAAATCTGAGAAATAAATAAAATTGCATTACATTTGGAGCTATTTTTCTGTTTATTTACTTTAAGTGAATTTCCTCCTGAAGATATTTTTTTCATCATTTAAGTTTTCCTAATAGCATTAATGCGAGGTTGTATAATATTTATTCACACGATGTTATCGAAGTTGTCTAGTAATAAAATTTTCTGGATTTTTTAGGAGATTGCTATTTTTATTGTTGTTGTCATTGGGGCTTTTATTGATGATGCTATTTTTGTCAACGGGAAATCTTGATATAATGTGATTATCGATTTTTCAAAAGAAAACTAATATAGTTTTACAATTCAAATTTTCTAAGATAGATTTGACATTTATATTGAGAAAATATTTTTTAATGGGGTCACTTTAGCAGAAACATATTTTTGACGAACAGTAACTATAAAGTCCAAATTAGATAGATAGATAGATAGATAGATAGATAGATGACAAACTAAAGAAAATTAATTTAAACGAATCAATAATGCTTTTCAAAAATATTACAGATTGATTATAAAGTTGTTTTTTACTGATAAAATACATCAAAAGTTTCCTTTTCGAAAATTTCAAGCTAATATGTTAAAGGAAATATGCTAAATATTTCCTGTAACATATTAGTTTGAAATTTCCGAAAATGTTTGTTGTATTTTATCAGCTAAACAACTTTATAATCAAAAGAATCAATAATAGACTATCAGGTTTTCTTCTGATCCAGCAAAATAGGTTTTATTTAATAACCTCGTACATAAGTAAGAGATTCTATAGTAATAATTATATTTGATTGCGATTATGAGTGTGATAACAATAATGACATGCACACTTCACATTCGTACATATGCATGTAATTGTATATATTCCCCAAGAAAGAAAAGAAAGATTTGATTATACTTGTCTAAAAGAATTATGCAATACTTTGATTTCACTCGATAAAGAATATACTAAGTATCTCCAAAGAAAAGAGATACCAAAGTTTTAAAATTAATTATTTTTAAATAAAAATCTTTCTTGAAGTTTTTATTTTACATTTAATTTCAAGCTAATAGATTACATTTAATATTTCCAATAAACCAAACACTTTTCTGCATTTCAAAATCAGTTTAAATTGATTGGTATTATTTTTAAATTGTTAAAACTGGCTGATTCTAACCATTGTATGCAATATTTATAAATCTATCAGCACAACGTAATACTCTTTATTAAAAGAATCTTTCAAGAATAAAATACACTTTTCTGAACTTCTATTTGAGGAAGATTAGGTGAGTTAAAGTTTAAATAATCTGATTTGAAACAGATATTAGTTACTTTTAGTTTATAATATAGCAGAAAAGAATTTCATAATACGGAGGTGGGTGTTATTATGAGGTGTTAACAACTCGATAGAGTCAGGTTTGGGGATTTTTTCTATGGGGGACATAACTGTAAAAGTGATATATATATATGAAAAAAAAACGTGAGCACCTTTTTTATACAATTCTTTTAACTAGGCAGTAATTTATAGAAAAAGTAAAGTTTTATTGAATTTTAGATACTTTGGCTTTAGATTTACTATAGTTATTATTATAGTCTTATTTTCTGATGTTGTGTTTTTAATGTCGTGTATGGACATATATATATATATATATGTGTGTGTGTGTGTGTGTGTGTGTGTGTGTGTGTGTCTGTGAGTGTGTATGTATGAACGTGTATATATACATATATATATATATGCGCGCGTGTGTGTGTGTGTGTGTGTGTGTGTGTGTGTGTGTGTGTGTGTGTGTGTGTGTGTCTGTGAGTGTGTGTGTGTTAAATCGACACGTTTATACACACACAAAACAAATTTAAAATAATTTTTAAAATACTGGGGGTCGCTGAATTATAGTAAGCTTTTTCATTTATGATTAGTAAATATAGTTTTTACTTAATAACGATATCACCTAACCAGTACAAATTTATACAGACATTTAAAACTCTGTAAATTATTATAATTAAAATTTTTCAAAAATGAAAACAATTCTTGTAAAAATTCATTATTCATCGAAATTACTTTTTTATTTGTTAAGACAATAGTGTCCATAATATATCTTATTCATAGAAGCAATTAAAATTTTTTCTAATTAAGTAATGCATTTTGTGTTTTTATTGATTTTTTTTTATTTTACGATTTAGAGCAAATTTTCGCTAACAAAACAAAATTGATGATTACAATTCTCTAAGAACTTATAACTAATATGAACATAAAGCGTAACAAAAGTGAATTTCACGAAATTTCATAAAATTAAATCGGAGTTAACTGATGAAAAAAAAAAAACTATTTTTTCCACGATTTTCTAAAAAAGAAACGTCTCTAAAATAATTTGTGAATATTTCCTGAAAGTTTCATTAAAATCCGACAATTATTACCTTTTTTAAGATAAGAATTTCCAAATCGATATGTTCTGCAACGTAAAAAGACGCTAGAATTTCCCATATCAATTTATGGTCACAAGAAAAAAAAATTAACCAAAATTTCGAACATTCTGAAATTTTTTTAATCCTGAAAAATATAATTTAATAATAATAATCTTTTGGCCTTTACTCCTAATAAAAACATAAGAAATTACGATAAATCTTTGGTGTTATTGTTTGTGGCATTTGTTCATCTTCGTATGATCCCTTTTCTTTTACATATTATAAACACAACCAAAGTGATTTTACTAAACTCAAAATATTCTTTTGCGGAAAGTAGTGAAAGTTTTCTGTTTCATATATTTATGTAACTCATTCCTCAAGACAATAGTAGAGTGACTCTATTCAGCAGTAATTTTATTTTTTTTATAACAAATTACAACACTACTCATTTCAATAGCAATAGATATTTATTTATATCTATTCATAATATAATTATTACATATACCTAGAATAGATCTGAACGAATAGAGATTTATGAATGTTGAGGAATTTGCAATTACTAGATTTCTGTTTTTGAGAATTGTTTTTTTTAATTTAAAACCCGAACTGTCTTTTTATGATTAAGAAAAATATGCAAGCAAACTAATGTACACAATCTAACATTCAACTACTACTCTACATCCACATGTATGATTATTCGGTAGGAAGTAAAAATGTCTGTTATTGTTAAAAAGTTAATTTTCTCAAAATAAATTGTTGCATAATAAATCAAATTATCAAAGTAATCAATTTAAATCAAATCAAAAGTTTTATTGTTTGTTCCCAGGAAAATTTACTTAAATTATTTTATATTTCGAATGGAAAATTGTCAAGATAAAGATATCAATAAATTTATAAAAAATAATTTATTCTGAAAAAATACTTAGTTTTCAAAATAATTTGGTCCCATGCCAATGAACTTAATTTAATATTTCTCCATTAATCACGTAAATCTAACATGATACAAATAAAATATTGTATGAAATGTTCACCTAACTACTTGTCTGGATACAGACTTATTGATCTATACTTGTATATATCTTGCTATAACTAGGTTAATCAATTTATACATTTATTGATTTATAAATAGTGATGAATATTTGCTCAAACTATCTATCTATCTATCTATATATATATATATATATATATATATATATATATATTATATATTAGTCTCATCCTTCCTATCTCTATCCATTTATGAGTCTCATCCTCTCTATATATCTATATATCTATTAGTATCATACTTTATATCTATCTGTCTATCTATCTATCGCTCCCCCTCTCCCTCTCTCACTCTCTCTCTCTCTCTATACATATATATATATATATATATATATATATATATATATATAGTCTCATCGTTTCTATTTCTCTCCCCTATAGATCTCTCTCTCTCTCTCTCTCTCTCTCTCTCTCTATATATATATATATATATATATATATATATATCTCATCGTTTCTATCTCTCTCTCCCTATATATATATATATATATATATATATATATATATATATTAGTTTCATCGTTTCTATCTATTAATCTCATTTGTTCTATCTATCTATCTATCTATCTACTCACGCATATGTATATCTAAAATCGTTGACACAATTCACTTGTGACTGGAAATAGACGTACACGCATATTGCATGTTAGATGCGTTCATTATAATAAAAAAATAAACTTACGCGACCGCATTAATTTAACCGGAATAAGATGAAATAAATTTCAGGTGCCGAGCAAAGTTGACGGAAAATTTGTATTCATTATATATGATGATGCAAGAGTATTACTCTTAAATAAATATATATATATATATATATATATATATATATATATATATATTTACTCGCTTTCTATATATATATATATATATATATATATATATATATATAAAAAATCGAGTGAGAAAGAGAGAGGGTAAGACTTTTTATCCTGGAGTGAGAGGTTTACTTACGATTTTCACTTAAAAATAGCGTTTAGCAATTTACAATTTAATACAATTGTTCATGAAAATGTTATAGATCAGCATTTTGTCGGTATTCCTAAATAAAGAAAGCTTCCAAATGCTTATTGAACTGTTATTAAACACATGAAGATACAAACATTTTCACACACACACACACACACACACACTTTCACACACAAACACACCCATAATTAAATGCATGCATATTTACATACATATATACGAAGGGATGATGAAAATAAATTTTCGGCGTAACCATGTGTGTGTATTTATCTACTTTCAAATATATATAGGAAAAGCTAAAAGTTCTCGGGACCCACCTACTTCCCGAAATCTGACCAATTTTTTTTTGAGAATCCATCCTTACTTGTTTCTAGAACTTTTCTGCACCACCTTGTTCATATAAAGGTATAAAGATATAAGCATAAAATCCCACTCATACTTAATTTTTTCAAACTATATGAATATGGGGAAAACATGTCTACATAACTCCGCATCATGAGAATAACTTGAAGAGTAGACCTTAGTTATCATTTTTTAATGAAAAATGTATTAATGAAATACTGCTTCCAAAATATAAATTATACAGGAAGGGATGCTTAAATGCTTTCGATCCGATCCACTTCTCATAATATATATATATATATATATATATATATATATATATATATATATATATAAATACAATCATATGTACATGTACATTAGTGTTTATATATATATATATATATATATATATATATATATTCACACATGCACATACATAAATTTCTGTCCGTACGTTTATAAGTTTACAAATTGAAGTTATGCCAACAAGTATTATGTACGTATCTTTGAGTTAAAGTGTTATAACAAAATAATTTGTGCGATATATTTATATTTGAAAAAATATATCTGAATAAATAAGCACAAATACACGCATTTTTGCAAATATATATATAAGCAAATAACTGCCTCTGTCCAAAAATATAATAGGATATTTTTATGATTATGTATGTACCTTTAACTCTATGAGCCCTGCGTTCCTGAACAATTTTAACCCTACTGCATGAGCTTCTGATTCAAAATACGCAAATA